TACTTTAACTTCTGTGTACACACAGTGTTTGTATTCATGAGGTCCTGCTTTGTCCCGTAATAGGATTACACAGATAGGGGGTCTGCAGCGCAGATGACCCATTGTTCAACTGCCGCCTGGAAAATCACATCACAACACAGACACACCTGGTTTTGATCACATTTCAGCATGAATTGTTGGACCTTTGTAGGGGGCGGACCTAGCCCAAGAGTATAAATGTAATGTAAAAACATAACTTGGGATTCAGAAGTTGGTTTTCCTGCGGGAGCTCTGGCTATCTGAATCCAGCGCTGTAAAGACTCTCCTGTGATCAGACTTTCAGTAAACTTTCTGTTGATTTTAAACAGTCCTCTCCTGTCGTCACTTCTCGTGCTTCCAACAAAAGAACTGGGTTAATTTCTAACACACCAACACTACCTTTGCGATCTACCAGTCAATCGCGATCAATATATTGGGCACCCCTGGTGTAAAGTCATCCCTCTGCAATTGGGTCCTGGATTTTCTGACCAACAGGCCTCAGACGGTTAAAGTCCACAGCATCTCATCCTTGTCCATCATGCTTAATACTGGCTCCCCCCAAGGATGTGTCCTAAGCCCCCTACTGTACATGCTACTTACTTATGATTGAACAGCCAGGTACCCAAGCAATCATATTGCAAAGTTTGTATGAAGGCCACGATATGCTAACCCCTGGACATAGGAATAAAGTTTAACCTCTCACACCAAGGTGGCATATTTGAAACATATTAACACTCCAAACACTGCTTGAGGTTGGAAGACGGAGATATTCACTCAGTAATTGACATGAACCTGTGAACAGAGTTCCCTGCAGACCTCCCTCTTTCATGTTATTAATTCAGGATAAGACCCCAAACCTCCCAAATAACAACAACCTGCAGTTATTGTGGCAGCTACCTCCTTAACCCCTCAGATGTTACTGTACTGAGAAATTTTTATAAACCATTACACTCTAGCTCTTTGAGGAAGTGTTAAATTTAGTCTGAAATAACCAATGAAAGCTGTGTCACTGGGCACTTAAGACCATATTTGTTTTGCACAGAATTTGACATAAGATGTTAAGGATAGGAAATTTGAAGAGTAGTGTATATTATGTAACAAGTAAACAACTGGATATTTTGTATAAAATAATTTCTGATATGACTGTCTAAAAACCATTTTAGTAGTTCAGTGTTGGTCTACTGTCAACCCTGTGAATTGTTGTGTAATATCAAACACTCAATGTTTGTGTGCCTATATGTGCAGCATTAACCCTTACCACTTAAAAGTGTAAACCCACTAAAATAATCCAAATTGACTCAATAAAGAGAGAATTAAAGGAATTTTATATAGAAGTTTAAAAGGTACAGCACAGCAGCAAGGTATAGCATTAGAATCATCAATAATTGTCTTGATGGGCTTAAAATCTAAATAAATCAACAACTACTATTTCTAAACATCAACCTAAAATGATCATACTGATTAAAACATTGATTTTTATTCAGATCAAGAGCTCAACCTGAGAAAGGAGGGTCAATGATAAAGGATTCCTCACTGAATTGTGTTTTCAGCAAGCTCAAAGTGGGGTGGATTGTGACTTTCTGTTGGAAATCTTCATTTCAGGGTAAATCATCTTTTAGGCAAAATTTTACTGTAAATTCTTTTTAAAGTAAAAATTCATTTGTAAATCCTTTTTAGGCAAAAAATCATTCTCCTTGCTGAATCATGAGCCATTGGTACAGATCAACCATCCCATGCCAATGTGGGAGTAGACTGAGATGACTAAACTGTCTGCAAGAAGAGTTGTGAGTGGGTATAAGGTCTTATTGGCTTTATATTATCAACATTTATCAATAGTATAGGAAATGCTTAGCCTTCTATAATCAATATTATAATCTGCATTAGGAAATATACCTACATGTTTATTTCAGTATCATATGCTTTATGATTGCTATTCATTTAACCATTTAACTTGTCTTAAGAAAACAGAACAGACTCAGAGCTGATAACAACGGAGCATGTGTAGTGTGAGATATTAACTGTGTGAGACATTGCAATTCAAGCATCAACACTGTTCACTGTGCACACATAAGAGGGTGTATTGTAGAAAACACTGGTATCTTTATGCACTTATATGGAATGTAACTTTCACTGAGTTTGAA